GCACACATTAGCGCCTCTTTCATGGAGTTTTGTGAAATGTCCACCATAAATGGTAATTATTGTAATAAAACTATTATTCAAACCCCAATACCCATCACTGTATTTAGGTTATATGACATAAATCGCTGGCGACACACTTGTCATATTTTTTAAGTACAGTAAGACCCAGTATAAGAACAAGTGAATTAAGAACAGCCTGATCTATGGTGTTTAGGTACATATGTGAATGCAATCAGCCTRAAAAATGAAAACATGTTATGAAAGAAATAATTTTGATGGTTATAGTTTGGAAGTGTTAGTGGTACTGTAGAAATTTTAACTTTAAGAACTAAACACCTTTAGAACGTGCTCAAGGCTGTTTTTCAGTCTGAACTTCAAAAATGAGTGTTCTTAATCCCGTCCCACTGAATATTTTGCTGTTTTTCAGATACACCATCTACATGTTTTCCCAACTCTCACTGTTCTAGACAGTCTAAGATGGAATGGTTACTCAAGTTATGTAAAGAATATGTAAGGAAGTTTGTTTTGACTACAGATGTTGAATCACTTGTGAATGACACCACTGAACTTGAAAGATGCACTAAAGAGGGGTTTCCTTGTCGCTTTGAAGGGTGTATGACGACATTTACGTATCATTCAAGAAGAGTGAGGTAATACAGATATACAACATTCAATGCACTTATTACACTGTACTCATAGTCACCTAAATGCAAACTGCATTGCAATGTTTGCGAGTGGTGCCACAAACTGTAAAATATATTATTAACACCCACATCCCAGGCAAATTGTTGACAGATATTTTCCTAACTATGACCATTAAATATCAACATTCACAGGCATGAACTTGAAAAACACAATCTAAACCTCCTCCCAGCATTTGAAACTGACGAAAGAGATCAGTTTGGTTATTATATTTGTCGCAGTAGCTGTGGTTTGTGCTTTAAGACAAAATCAACAAGAAATAGGTAGGTAAATTAAGAGACATGCCATCTCAAATAATTCTAAAAAATCCTCAGCTGAATTACCTTTAAACAACTTAATTTTGAACTACTGCCATCCACACTTGGTATACATGACTTATACAACCTTAATACGGTGAGTCCGGAGGTATTGAGCTCTCCGCACTTCATGTCAAATTTTTAATTTTTTATAATACAAAAGGAATGCAAAAGAATAAATTTGATGTCAAGTGCAGAGAACACAATACTTTGGGACTAATTATGAAAAAGGTGTTTAGCTTATAGTTTGAGCGTATGAAAATTTACTCTCCTGTAACAACAAAACACAACAAATCCTTGAGATATAAGATCAAACCTATCTTCTATTCTCAATGATATAGACATGAGAGAAAGTTTCACCCTGAGTTTTCTTTTGATACACCACAAACTACTGACACTGCAAGCTCTAAAAGCAAGGAGAAACCTAAAGAAGACAACCTATACAATTATCACCAGACCAGACTGACCTTTGGATTGATCTTAATGGCTTTTGAAGATGCAGTCAAGGAAGGAGATGGCCAACGCTTATGCGAAATCTACAAGGTGGCCCTTCTGCTTTACAAATTACACAATCACTATAAATATTCATATGTTGTTCTCCTTTTCCTGGTGAAATTGCATTCCATATATCCACAATTTGAGGCAGAGCGACTGAAATGGAACCGCTTCTTCAACAACCATGGTGGGAGGGGCTGCAACATTTCCCTTGATTTAAAGAAAGAGCACCAGAATTGCCTTTTGAAAAAGATGTGGCGTTCTCTTGGCCCAAACCTGAATGAGGCCAATGCAGCTCGTGTGGCTGGCACAATTGATGCAGTTGACTCTATTCTTAGAAGTGTTGACAAAGATTGTGGCTTGAAGAAAAGAAGTTCTTATCGATGTGAAGCCATGAAAATTGAAGCTGTCAGTCAGATTATTGATGACTTAGTTGAAATCAAGGCTTTTAAATTCACACCAGGAAGGCAGGGTCACCCCTCATTTCCACAAGTGAGCCAAAATTTAGTGAAGGGACTTGACTTCAGAGATTTGCATGCATGGATGAAGGAAAAGTTGGAGTCATGGAAAACAACCTGCACCAATGATTAAGACATGGTGCAGTGTCAAACAGAACCTTTAACAAACACAATAACTATACTTATTTCAAAAAATTAAGCAGTCCCTTAAATAAATTCAAAATAAGGTATTTAGATCCTTTCAAACCTGGTAAGTTGTAATATATATGACATAATGTTCATCATAACAGGCTACGAATTAGAGATCATTTCTATAATATCAATAATATTGTAACCAAGTGGGAGTAGTGAGCAGAAACCAATGAACTGAAATGTACATTGCAGATTTATGTACCAAATTATGCAAATTAAAACCAAACATTCTGATATCAGTTTATATAAAAATATTGTATTTCTATGAATCACAGAACAATTACCATTTATGTAAACAGCAAGAGAATAATACATTATTAAGACAGAAGATGACCAAAAAAATTTTTGTGTGTCCTTTAGGTAATTCCAGAATTGCATGAGTTTCTTATTTTGGACAACAAAAAAAAGGTTTTGCACATAGCACTTTCTAAAGTTTGTTTTATCAGGACTGTCAATCTAAACTGCTTGTAGTTTGTATATTTACATGGGCATACAATAAAATATTCAGCAAATGTACGGACGATTCAATAGCAATGTTGACCATGTCAACAGGAAGAGAACCTACACTATGGTTTCAGTTTTCAAATTCAGCAAAGTCACTTTCGTTGAATAATACATTATATACTTAGTGCTATTGATTATGTTCTATAAATACTGAATTGGTTCACTGTCTGACCATTCGTCTTCACTTGAATCGCCGTCTGCTACATCAGATTCTTGCAACACATCACTTAGGTCCAAGTTTTCAAGTGAGAGGAATTGTTCATGATTAAGCATGGTCATTGCTTCATCAAAATTGGGGATGTCAAGAAATATTTCTTGAATAACCTCAAGCAATGAAAGAGCATGGCCCACAGAGTACACTGCACAGTTATTCAAAATGTCGTCAAGAGAAAATAGTGTGGAACATGATTTTATGACATCATCAATCAGCTGTTTTGAAAAACCATGTGCTGTTACTGGATCGAAAAGGGTCTTTTGGACTGACAAACTTTCCTGGAGTTCTCCTAATGCTGCCTTGAGATCTTCTTTGTCATCATCACTAACTGGCCTAGAGAGGAATGGTGGAGGACATTTACTCTCTTTTATTCTTGAATAGACTGGAATATAGGAACATCCTGAACCCTCACATTCACACAATGTTGCACAGTATGAACAGCAAAGATGACCAGGATTTAGGGGTACTATGCAGGAGTCAAATGGCTTGTATGCTGTTACTCGATGGCAGTTATCATTACTCACAAATTCCTTAACATCTTTGCTACAGTGACTTAGTTGATGCCCATGGTAAATGACAACGTTATGGCTTTGCTTTCCATCTCGTCCAGCTCGACCAGCCTCTTGGTGCTGGTCAAGCAAGTTCCTTGCTGGACCCCAATTGACGATGTATCGGACATCAGGGAAATTTACCCCCATACTAAGAGCAGATGATGCCACAACCACTCTTATTTTTCCATTGCCCTTAAGGGATGCTGTAACATTTTCTTTTTGTTGGGACCAAGTGTTAGAATGATAAATTCCGATGAGGCAATCCTTGCCTTGTCTTGAGCTGTTTGGTGAATAGGCTTTTTCACCTAGCTTCATTAGCAGATGGTTGACAACTCTTGCAATTTCATTCATAGTGTTACAGAATATAATGCACTTTTCCGTTGATACATCATTAGCCTCGAGATCGTCGATTAACCACTGCAGCCTGCAGAACATATCCTCCTTTTTTTGGTGAAACACATGAAATCTTATATTAGTTCTGTTTGGACTTATGGATAATATCAGTGGTTCTTGCAATACCAGTGAACTGCAGATAACTTTAGTGGTTTCTGTATCAGCTGTTCCAGTTAAAGCTGCTACTGGTGTTCCTATAAAAAATAATTGAAGTTTTGTAATGATATGTAAATAAACAACAATCCCAATGTATAAAACTAGTGACTGTTGCCTTTTGATTACATCACTTTTTACCACCGTTATATAATATGTTAAAGTTAGTGTGATTTCGTGCAACTTTTCAACAATATTATATCTCACAAATAAGCTTGTACCTTGTCCAAGGAAAGATCGCAAACAAGCCAATTTTCCATAGGCGGAACGAAATGCGTCTGTGGTCTCCTTGTTCTTGTCTTTTCTAATGGTAAAAAATATTTTCACTTTTATAAGCCATTATAAATGATTGAATAATATAGAAGCAACAGTTAGAGCAAACGAGTGACAACAGTAAATCTTGCCTCTTTGATATTATAAGTATAAGCTTATATAACTAACCATACACACGCTTTGAATATGATTTATTCCTACAGACCTGTTTTTTATGGTTTGAGCAATAAATAAATAGCTCATATTCAAAGCGTTTAGCTGAGTAGTCCAGACTCTATATAAACAACACAGACTACTAAGGTATAAAGACTTTCTACAACGTGTTTCGTTTCTTTGAATAATTGCTTACCTAAGTCCCGTCCATGTTTGAATAGTGTGGGATTCATCAACAACCAGAGCCACAATTCTTGAAACAAAACTTTTATTGTCCTTGTCTTTGAGAAAGTCCGTGAAGCGTCTGTCCAAAGCACTTTCAGCGGAAGCATATATAACATCTACACTCGATAACATGTCTAAATTGTCAATTGCGTCAACCAGATTACATCCCTTGAGTCCAAGCGAATCTATTTCCAAGATCTGGTCATTTATAATACTAACTAACGGAGAAATAACTATAACAAGAGGAGAGATCTCTTGGAAGCAAAGCCCGAAACGAGACAACAGAACCAGCACTTGAAAGATTAAACTTTTTCCGAAGCCAGTCGGCAAGATCGCCACCAAATCTTTCTTTTTTACGTACAGTTGTTCTAAAGCTTGTCGCTGTTCTTCTTTTATTGAAATATTGAAGCCTTTTTCTTTTAAATCGCTCAAAGCACGCTCTAACTGATAACAAAACCCTTCTTCATCGCCCGYCATGTTTGTATAAACACCAACTTGATCTGGTATCTATCACTTTGACATTTGACAGCTTGCTGCTCTCGACCAATAGGGAATTTACGGCCAAATCGAACTGTAGATTTCGTAAAACCGTGGGGTCCGCTTGCAGGCCCTTCCTATTTTTCTCCCCACTCCCCGCTCGGCCGGCCCTCCCCAATCCCCTTAGGGCCGCTACGCAGGCTATTCTCCACATGAAAAGATGTCTGTAGAAGATGAAGTAGACGCTGTCCTCACCACACCAGGGTCTTTTTGACGTGGACCAAATGGCTCTATGACTTTCAGTCTGGCAATGTTTTGGNTATACGAACACGGCGTTATACGAACACGACGTTATACGAACACGACGTTATATGAACACGCCGTTATATAAACACAACATTATATGAACACGACGTTATATGAACACGACATTATATAAACTCAACATTATATGAACACACCATTATATGAACACGACGTTATATGAACACGACGTTATATGAACACGACATTATATGAACGCGACTGTTATATGAACACGACATTATATGAACACAACATTATATGAAAACGACGTAATATGAACACGACGTTATCGTTATGTGACCACAACGTTATGTGAACACGAGGTTATATGAACACCTGGTGCTGGCCACGACAAACGAAGGCTCAAGTCAGCGTTGTTTATAAATGGGCTTCCTATGTCCCCTTCGACAAAATTGCGGACAAGCGAATGTCAAACGTCCTGAAAAAATTGGGTCTTGGTCACGCAATTAAGAAATTTGAAGATGAGAAAATCACTCGGGAGATCTTGAAACTCTTGGGATTGTGGAACTGTCAGACGTGATGAAGCTTCGACAAAAATGTTCAACCTATGKAGGACATAAACTACAAACAGTTCGGACTGGCTTTGGTAGTTCCTATTCGTATGATATTCCAAAGGATATGCTTGAGTCCTTCATGGAAGAAGGATTTTCTGTAGCTGAAATTGCATTGATGTTTTCCGTATCTGAGAGTACTATATACCGTAGAATGAGAATATCTAATTTGAGCCAACTGCACTTTTCTGACATTTCTGACAATGAACTCGATGTACATATGCTACAAATTGCCCACAAATTCCCTCGATGTGGAGAAACAATGGTTAAAACCATTTTGTCCCAAAAAGGACTCAAAGTCCAAAGAATGCGACTGAGAGACAGCATGCACAGACTTGACGAAGAAGGTGTTAAAGGAAGAAAAAAAGGCAGATTGAAAAGGCGAGTATATAATGTCCCTGGCCCAAACCATCTTTGGCATGTGGACACCAATCACAAGTTAATCAGGTGGTGCAATTGATGGATACAGTCGTCTTCCTGTGTTGCTTAAATGTGAAAACAACAATCAAGCAGAAACTTTATTAAAACACTTTGTTGAAGCTGTACCAAGTAGAGTCAGAACAGATAAGGGACTCGAGAATGTTGCAATAGCTGATTACATGATTTTTCATAGAGGAACAAACAGAGGGAGCACCATTACTGGGTAAAGCACTCATAATCAAAGGATTGGGCGGTTGTGGTTAGATGTCTATCAGGGTGTGTCATGTTTTTTCCATAAGCTTTTTTATTTCCTAGAAGACAGTGACCTTCTCAATCCATCAAATGCTTTGCATGTAGCAGCACTTCATCATGTTTATAAACGAGAAATCAACAGACGAATGGAAGTGTGGAGAAGGGCATGGTCAATCCACAGAATGCGTACCACAAGGTCGAGCCCTGTAAGAATGTGGATAATAATATAATAACTTTATTAACTCATCTTTTCTATAAAAATACGATTAATTTA